ATTAACAACTTTCGTCAGAACTCGTCGGGTGCTATCCAGAACTGTCGACAGAATTCCCGTAACTCTAAAAAATGTTTTAACCACGGGACTTAGAAATTTTACGAAAAATCGAACGAAAAATCGCGATAACTTTGAAACCGTTAGTCCTAGCGCGTTGGGTATTAACAACTTTCTTCAGAACTCGTTGTGTGCTACCCAGAACTGACCACGGAACTGCCGTAATGATCAAAAAAATTTTTTTTTTATTTGTCGTACGAAAAATCATTATATCTGTTGAACCGATGGTCCTAGCGCTTCAAGCCTTAATAACTCGTTAGAACTCTCTGGGTGATAGAACTGGTCGTTAGAATTGTCGGAACTTTAAAAACATTTTTTGGTGTCTGAAATTTTTCGAAGTTGCAAAACCATTTGCGGACTTCTCTACTTCCGCAATTTTTTTGCTACCAAACTTTCATGACGCGTGCATGTGTTTGTATGTGTGCAAATGTACGTGTTATATCCTGCTCTTGGCGTTATCCAGAATCAACGACGTGGACGTGGCAGGTGTCTGATTCCATGTGTGTGCTTGTGTATGTTTTGTGCGTGTTTTGTGCGTGTTTTATGTTCATTGTGTGTGTAGGTTTATATGTGTGCGCGCGTGTAGAAATGGTCATGTTCAGCAGACTCAACTGTTGCGGAGCCGATCCGCTTCAGACACCAAAAAATGTTTTTAAAGTTCCGACAATTCTAACGACCAGTTCTATCACCCAGAGAGTTCTAACGAGTTATTAAGGCTTGAAGCGCTAGGACCATCGGTTCAACAGATATAATGATTTTTCGTACGACAAATAAAAAAAAAATTTTTTTGATCATTACGGCAGTTCCGTGGTCAGTTCTGGGTAGCACACAACGAGTTCTGAAGAAAGTTGTTAATACCCAACGCGCTAGGACTAACGGTTTCAAAGTTATCGCGATTTTTCGTTCGATTTTTCGTAAAATTTCTAAGTCCCGTGGTTAAAACATTTTTTAGAGTTACGGGAATTCT